TTCCATGTTCCGTATAATTGTGCAGACTGTTTGAAAAGCAACTCCAATATGAAAACTCATATGTCATATTGTTCATTGGAAAGTATAGCATTCGGAAATATGATAAATCGAATCTGCAATCACTCGGACGACCGTCGTTCTTTTTCTTCTGGCGAAACGCCGAAAGCTTCGGGGATCACCCGTTCTCGAGAGAGATGCAATAAGTTCCATCCTCGGTGCATACGGCGATGCACACATGCAGATGCACAACACGTGCATCTGCCATCCTATGCAGCTTGGTGCATAGCGCGAGTCATGCGTTGACGCTACCCCAGGGAATCAGCGCTGACCGCGCAATCGAAGTTGCATCTGTCACGAAACGCACTCCCACGCTTTCTGACTGTTCGCCTCTCGACGGCCCATCCGATACATTGGAGGCGGTGTTTTACCCTCTCGTACCATGCATTGCAACATACGTCATCAAGGGATTTGTCCGACGAGCCTTTGACCAGGCACGCTTTCGTGCCTTCGTTGTCGGAAAAAATCACCAGGTTGCAGCCGTCGATCAGGCCTTACCATACCTTGATGGCAATCAGCACCGCTAAACACTCGAACTCGAAGATGGGATTCTTGCTAGTTGGCACTACGAGCTGTCTCAGTTCGTCTGTCGCCCACTCGCTGAAGTAAGCAATCTTTGTCCCTGCTCAGAAACCAGCACGCCTCCTAGACCTACTCTGTTGTCGTCACATGATGGATCCACATAGACATGCCACAGATGGAGGATGTTCGCATTCAAGGATCTTGGTGGACCGTCAAGAAAACAATCACGCAAGAAAAGCAAGACAAGCTTGAGATCGTCGTCGAAGGATGAGCGATTGCTTACAAGGTGTCGAGTCAATGCCTTGAAGGCCTTGCCGGCCCGTTTTCCCGCTATCTGGTTCGAGGATTGGAGCCTTCCCCGGCTTTTCGCATTCCTTCCGAGGCAGAGTTCCATGTTCAAGAATACTACTAATGTTACCTCGAAGTTCGTCGCGCCTGCTGGCAGTATTCCTCATGTAGAAGCGCCCAGGACGTGTCTCACTGAGGTCAAACTCCAGGCCCAGGACTTTGATTAGGCTTCCGAAAGCAGTGGACTTGTCCGGGGACGTGTTCCACTGCAACGGAAGAGAGATTCTGCGCACAGGTCGGAAATTCTCGCAAGCGGTGGAACCTCGCAGCTTACAAAGTCATCGTAACACACCGACCACATCAAGAGCAAGATCTGAACCCCTGCATTCCAAATCCCGGGTGACGTCCTACAAAAGGAATGCACCGAGGCGCGAGCCCCAAAGGGCAACACGCACTGCTCGAAGACCTCTGCAGTCTGCTTGCGTGGGTTGTGTGACAAGCAGAGCTCGCGCAGCGGTCTCTTTTTCACTTGAGCCAAAGCGAAGTTGCGTCTGGCTTCTGAGCAGGCTGCGTACAGCACACGTCAAACGAATTCCATTCTACAACACTGC